GAAACATCTGAAACATCTGAAAATCACTAACAGCCATCTCCTTTGTAATCTTGTGATTTGAAAATGGCTACCTTTCAAATTTAGAAACCAGAACAAATTAATCATAAAGATAACTTCTTGCCTGGTTTCCCTCTGGAATAATCTTGTTATATGCAGACATATACAGTTGTTCAGCCATGAAACACTACCAGGCCTAACGCCGCACCAGGACTGCTGCAATGGCAAAACAGACAGTACTCAGGGAACTGAGAACTGGCTTTTGGCGTACCAGAGTCTGCTTTAGCCAAGCAGAATAGTCTCCCTGGACACATGAATTAGAGATCTCCGAAAAAAATAGCTTGATATCTAATTGCAGGGTTGGCAGGTGCTTCCATGATATATAGCATATGAAATAAAATTACAGGGACAGTATCAGCAAGTAACAAAAAGTATAGACAGTTTTTAGCAGGAATTAGCCAAGGAATTAGAGCAAAAAGCATCATGGGGTACACAGAGTGCTTTCTGTATTAGTATTATCTCTGTGCACACAGGACAGTACTCGTTACAAATACCTGAATGAATCATCTAATGGCTGTGAATGTAGGACACTCGAGCACTAGCTGGGGTCCTGTGCTCATGGAAACACTGTCGGGGATTCAACTTATCTCTCCGAAGCACAGAGCTTCTAAAACTCCGTATTTCTAGAATATCTCTAAACAACGGAAAATAAAAGCCGGAAAAAGCTAAAGAGCTGAAATTGCAACTGAAGAGTTTCAGATGCAATGAAAGAATTCAATTTAGCTTAAGATGCTAATTTTTATTTAAAAGCTGCATCAGTCTCAGGCTGGACTTCATAACAGAGGGCACTGTTATGGGCTAGAGCATGTGCAGGCTTCTGCTCCCGGCAGTACAGGTCCCAAAGACGTGCTAGTATGAAGCCAGTGGGGGTGTGATGGAAATGATGAAGCTGTGTCTGAGCCTTGCAGCTTCACAAATCTCAATAATCCCTGGAGGAAGAAGGATGTGACATTTCCCGGGGAGTTGGAAAGTCCCCGGAAGGCTTCCCTCTTTCCAGTCTTCTTTCCATGAGCTGCAGCCCTGTGCTATTAATGCATATCCAAATAGCTTTGTTCTTCACATGGGAGGGAGAAGGCAGGTAGTCCTTTACGCAAACCTCACCCAGTGGTGCCTCTCCCCAGCAACAAGCTGCAAGGATTTAGGACCGAGATCACCCTAGAGAAACTTCATTACTTTCCTTAGAAAGTAAAAGCTCTTGCTTTTCTTTAATTCCCTGACTTCAAAGGCTAAGTGTGAGGAGGCTCACGATCTCCCTGCTTTCTTTCAGCAAACTTTTGTCCCCAGTAGAGCTGCGCTGCTGGAACATTTAACTAAAGCTGTCAGTACAACACGCCCAGAGAAGGAGCACAATACTCTGCCATCACATAACCGACTAAAATTACAATCAGAACAACTTAGATGGGAAATACAGTATCTTTCATGCCTCTGATCTCTGAAAATGACATGAAGTTCATGTAGCTCTTTTCTGTGTGTTTTACTTCACCAAATTCCCTGGCAATCTCCCCATAAAATTTGATTTGCCAGACACAGTGAACACAAACTACCTAAGCTGTATCAATTCATTTGGCATCTATGGCTGTGGCAGCACCATCAGGACTTGTGTAATATTAATATTCACTACACCAAACAAGCATAAATCACAAACTATCCAAAGGAAACACGAAGACAGAATCAGACAAGTGCAGATAGAGAGCTCTGACAGCATTTCAGTTCTGTGTGATTCTTGTAGCTGACATCCATCTGTACTGAACTATGCACAGCAGATGCATTATTACCTTAAAGGAGCTACTGTGTATTTTGTTTTAAATCAACAGGAATCTTCACTGGAAGAATAGTTAATGTACCAAGAACCTGAGTGCTTCAGAAAAACAACAGACAAGTATGTAGCTTTCTACACAGAGAGGAAACAACCTCTCTGCAAAGGAAATCAGGAATGCTAAGATGCTATGGGGCTTTCAGCTTGGCCCCAAGCCCCTCCAGCAATAAGGTGCTGTGGCCTTCCTGCAATCTAGACGTACTCGCCTATATGGCAGTACTAGCAGTATATTTAGGAGATGCAGAATTGTTAGCAAACAAAGCTGAGACTGAAGCTAAGCTGAGACACTGGACAAGCCTCAAAATTCTACTGGTAATCCTGTTACGGGACAGGAGTCAGTCTCCAATGATACCAGCAAGTGCTATTATAAATCAGTTGGTTGTTCAATGGCAACTTCTTTGCCCATCTCTTCTTTTGGCCTTAAAAATGACCTCTCCATAAAGAGGCTCCTACAATAAAGAAAAACACTATGAAGATGGAAGGGATGCAAAAATACAGAGCGAGGTGCAAGCTTTCTATCCCCCAGCTGCCCTCTCCGAGGTTACCTGGGTCAGGAAACTTGCTCAGAATCTGAAAACTTTTGACAAAGAGTAATTCCAGATTTAAGTGTTAGATTGTCATATGATGCCAGAAAAAAATTCCCAGCAGTAGGCGTTACTGAAAGAAGGATACAGTCTCGCTACTGTCATGAAGTTGAATTGCAAAGCAAAGCTCCCACTGACTTCAGTGGTACAAGATCACAGTCTCAAACCAAGATGGGAAATTGTAAGCTGTGGAGAGGAGACATCACATCAAGAATGTGATGGAGCCTCTGTGTGGCAAAAATAAAGGCACGGGGTCTCTTTCTGCAGCTCTGCTGATTTCAGGGGGATCACATGTGTGCAAGCAGCTGCAACAGCGTGGTTTAAAATTGGGCAAAGGCTGTGAGAAAGTTACTTGAATTTTCATGTAATAATAATAATAATAATAACAACAACAACAACAAATGCCTGTGTTTGCTTTCTGTGAATATCCCAGTGAGCATGTTGGCTGCCCAAATAGCACATTTTAAATAACTCTTTCAGAATATTTACTCTAGGATTTTTGTTGGAATTATTTCCCTCAGCCCTAGTGGACTCCTCTGCTCGGCTGGCACTAAAGACAGAGCGCAAAAGGCACTGCTGAAAAGGCAAGTACATTTTCCTACTAATCCTTTCTACTTTAAATGTGCCCCAGTGTTTTCAGCAAATATGGGAGTGAGATGAATATAGCAAACCTTATGGGTCTGACTCTGCCCTCTCAACCCTATGTTGGTGTAAATGGTAGTACTCCATGTGTAAAATTAAGCTACAGTGATTTACATCAGCGTGATAGTGAGCACCTTTCAAAGATAACTATTGTCGTTTCCTTCGTTTCTCAGAAGTTGGCAGGAAAGGAAACAGAACCTTTCCAGAGACAGCTAGGAGTAAAACTGACTTATTTCAGAGCAGCATCAACAGTAAAAATTAACTCTTGTTGCCATGAAGAGAAAGTTTCTTGCTTATTGCTAAATCATGCATCACCCCCTCATGCATCATCCCCCCTTCACTGCCTTTCAGTGATACAGGAGAAATGCTATGTGAATCCAGCTTAGCCAGTGGGACTACAACCCAGCCTCTTCCAAAGACCTCTCTAGTCTCCTTGCCTTTAAAAACAGCAGCAATTTCCTTATGAATTGACTGGATATTATTTAAGATCAGATTTTGTCTTCCTTATTCCAGAAAAGCACTGCTTTACTCAGGAGAGGCAAACAAACTTCTTGCAGTGTATGGTCAGAGCATGAATATACACATACCTGGTTTATATACTCTTAGCTCCTTTGCTTACCTCTTCCCTGCCTCACATGGTGTAACCAGTTCAGACCAGGATATGAATTTGGAACTACCTCGGCTAAGGACAAATGTCCAAAAGGTTTCTAAAGCATGAGAAATAAACACCAACATTTCAATGAGACTCCACTTAGTATTTAAAATGTGACTTTCCACTAAAAGGAGCATGGAGAGAAGACAAACAAACAAACAAACAAAGTCCCTAACTACTAAATACATCTGATGCTTGTGCGAATGTCCTCATATTAGTAATGCATTTCACCATCTCTTAGTTTTGTGAGAAGGGGTGGCACCTAAACTGTTAAAAAGACAGAGCTAAGTGCAGGAACAGGCAGAGGTCAGAGCTGCGGGCAGGGAGCTCAGGAGTGAAAAGGAATTCCGGAAACCTGAACTCAGGTCCCCACCTGCAGCAGGGCTCCTGTGGCACTGAGGCTGAGGCATTTAGGACAGGATCCAATTCACCAGAGCTCATGCACCAGGTCTGAGACTGCTCTGGAGCTGTCCATAGTCAGCGGTAGAGAAAGACACCTCCAGAAAGTAACTTATCCCACTGTAAATGTCCAAGGCAGGCAGCAATAATCACGCACTGGACGCACGACTCTTCTCCCATGACACAAAATGAAGTCTAGATGAAGAGCTTAGATTATATCCCTATCCTTTTGACGGTTAGAGTTATGTGAGCTGAATTCCACCTGAACACTCTCTGTTCACAGCCTCAGCTCCCCCTGTAAAATGAACAGCATTTCCTCCCCTGACAGGGATGTTATGAAGATCAACTTGCTAACATCTGTGACGTGCTCAGCAAAAACACATGCTTGTGAAGGAGCATCACATACAAACAGGAAAAGGGGCTGGGTCAGAAATCTGGCTCCAGGCACAAAAGCAGCATTATCTATGTATTCCAGCTGCCCTCAGTTACATCAGTGCCAACCCTGTCAAGACAACAGGATTGCAGGGATGGGAGAATCAGAGCTATGCACTTCCTGGCCAGGATGGTACGCAACTGGGAAACAACACTGCTTGACTTCACAAGCCTCAGCTGTGCTTTCGGGACAGGCAGTTCAAGTCGAGCCTTTGTTCACTCAAGGCTGAGCTATTAATTTAGAATTCACTGAGGCACAATGAACAGGGAACCCAGTGACAACATTTTTACAGTCACTCTCCTTATAATGGGAGCTTGTAACTCCCAAGGCAACTCTGGCCTGTGTTTGATTAGTGTACTTAAATCTCCACCTGTGCTTTTACAATAGCCAGTATTTTCTGTCAGAGCTTGCTCTTACCCTGTTGGAATCAATTCTTGTCCTGGAGGTGTAGATGGGAGGAGGGATGTTGAAGGCTTGAGGAACAAGATACTCTTCAGCATCCATCATATCTTCCAGGTCTTCCTCATCGAGAAGGTTTTGGAAGAACTTGCTGTCATTTGGGCTTGGGAGCTTCATACGATCATCTCCCTAAATAGGTTGTATTGAGAGAGGAAAATGGTCAGAAGATGGATTAATTTCCCAAACAGGGAACGTCAGCCTTCATCACGCCCTGGCAGCCAGGCTGCAGGGACCACACATGCTGCTTTGTTTGTTCTAAAACACCACATCCACATCATTTGTTTAGATTTCTTTACTGGGAGTATGATGACAGAAAGGGAAGAACTGCATAAATCAAGCAAAGTAATTTTTTTGGTGTTCTTGTGATTGAGCTTTCATTCTTTCTTCTCTCTTTTTTCCATGCAAGTTCAGTTTCTGACCCAAGTTCTGTCAAGGCCTGATGTATTTTATGAAATATCTCAGCTATCTAGGCTCACATGGAGGGTGCGAGAGGATAACATGGAAACTGCTGTGTCTGGGTGTTTGCTTTATTTTCATTTTTATTTTTAGGGACTTAGAGGCTAACTTTCCCTCTCATCCATATGGAAAGTTCTGCAGAACGTAACAGAGCTGAAAGCAATAAAAATCAAATCAGGGAACAACAGCAACAATGATAAGTATTTTATTGAAATAGCATCTACAAGCTGCAGAGGCAAATCAGGGCTCCACTTTGCTTGGTGCCACAAAACATCACAAAAGGCAGCCCATGCCCCAGACACCTAACAGCCCACAGAAATGATGCAAAACTTAACTGCATGGCTAAAGAATGGCCTCCCACTCTGCAAGAATTATCATGCCACATGTGGAATCCAGCAGGGAATGATGGCTGTGCTATGGGGTGCATACAGACCCGTTTAAAAGCTCAACAGCAAGCTTGTCATTCTTGATTGCATCTGGGGGGAATGGGGAGTCATAATGGCAGAGATACCACTGCAATGGCGTTACCCTGGTTTCTCCTCAAGAAGCACATGGCCTATATTGTCTGCAAGGATCACTGGAGAAGAAGCCTCACAGGATGAAATACCCACCAGACTATACAAAGGGGAAGGAAGGACAGAGGAGAGAAAGGGAGGGAAGAGGTATTTGGAATGTGGAAACATGTCCTATCTAACAAAGTAATTTAATCAGACTGATTTTTCCAGAATCACTTGTATCAGCTGAATTTACAATTTAACACAGTGGGGAATACTGCAAGAGAAATTCCACATTCAGCACCACAAATCCTCTCGACTAGTATTTTATTTTTCAAATATATTTTACTTCTCCTCAAGCTGAAGGAGAGTAGCGTACGTTCACACTGTGCAGTAATACACCATGAGTAGGCTAGCATGTCTACACAGTGAAATGAAACACCATACGGTGAGACTAGCACTAGACCCAAAAGCAATCAGGAGACATAAAGTGGCAGTGACCGTACTTCTGGAGGCTCTTCAGCTAGGAATTCTTACGTCAGTGTGAAGCTAAGGACCAGCTGGATGTATCCCTGCCCTGTACTCCATGATGTGGAGCTGATATAGCACGAGATACAGCGTGAGAGTATCATTACCTGGATCAAACTAATTCCATGCTTTGGTCTTTGGTGTTTCAACATCACCTTACTTCTTTTAATTTTTCATTTTCGTTTGAACTGCTCACACACTGGGACCATCTAAGGACCTTACCAAATAGCCGGATTCATTTTCTGTGGCTTGAGTCTGAGTTGTAATAAACACATACACAATGCTAGGCTTCTGCAGAATGTAGGAGTGAAAGGACAAAAATTTCCACATACGCCTGTACTCAGGGCGTACACAGCTCCAGTTAGATGTTAGTCAACAGATACGGCTACATTGGTATTGCCCTGCTGCCACAGTGTAGTTTCATGTGATGAATCATGCTGGTGTGGGTCCATTGCAGGGACAGTGAAGCACTACAGAGCCTACACAGCCTAAGGAGGACACAGAGGGAAGCTCCTCTCTACCATGAGAGGTACCAGTGTGACACAACTCCCTGTCTTCTGAGAAACCTTTATGTTTAGGCTACAAAAAGAAACTTTCTTATGATCTCAGCAGTGCAGGGAGAGTCTCTTCAGGATAATCCCCTGAGATTCAGCCTAAGCAATTGTAGAACCAAGCAAGTCCTTGGTCTAAAGTAGGTCCACTGTCCACTGACAGACAAATCTTGTCCCCAGTTTCATGAGAGAATGCAAAGTACTGAGCAGCTTGCAAAGCCAGATCTTGTGTATGTGCTCATAATTACAAGCTTAGGAAGTGAATTTCAGATTTTGTTTTTACTATTATTTTTGAGATACTGACACTGACCATTCTACTTCATTCTTGTGTAGTACTGTGGTCACTGTTTGCTTTCAGTTCAAGAGCACCTTGAACTCATAAGATTCAAAGGCAACCCCCTTAACAGTCAGGTTTGGCAGACAGAATTCTTCTTTTTTTCCCCTGATGTTGCAGAGTTGCTTACCTGAATTACTAGGTATCTCTGAGGGTCTCGAGCCATTCTAGAGAATTCAGCAGCCAGCTCCTTAAATTTTGGCCGACTGTCAGCATCAATCATCCAGCCTGTGGACAGATGAAAGATGAGAAAGAAAACAGTTAATTGTCAAGGGAAGAAATCATTCAGTTTTTAAAAATGTGCAAGTTTGAAGTCCTTGATGTCCTTGATAGCTCTGGCCTAAAGAAAACTTGCAATAAAGAGTCCAGAAGAATGGAAAGCTAGAAGTCTATGATGCATCTAAAATGGAAAACAACTGGTCTTGGCCAGAGAAGACTAGACTGTTCCACACTGCATGGATTTCTTCTTAATTTGCTCTGAGCTCCTGTTCCCCATCCCCAAAACAGAGACAGTAACAATGCCTTGCAATTTTCTGTGTCTATCTTGCCCATTTAGATGTCAGCTCCGACTGTCTTTTATTATGCATGCGTCCAACCTCTAATATAATGAATCTGTTCTCACCTGAGTCTAGTGGGTTTATTACAAAGTTACTACTAAATACAATTTTACTTTAACTGACCTACTGTTCCACAGTGACTTAGATTAAAAAGAGTTGTTCAACAGATCTACAGGATGACTGACCTCGCATCTGCCTTTCAGGTAATTCTGCATTCATGCGTCTGTGTCATTAACACAGACCTCACACAAGGCATTAGATGCTATTTTAATTGAGTCAGGGTGATTCTTTTGTCCTTCGCTCTCCAAGAAACATTCATTAGGAACAACAGTTCTCAATCCCTGCTAATGCTTTCTGCAAAAGAAGCAAGTAGTATAGGCAGTCACCACCAGCAACTAGTTTAACTCAGTGTCAGCTTTTTCTAATGGAAGATCCTATCAGCATCTTCCCAAGTACATGTTCTCATTTGCCAGGGTGGCTAAATGAAGCAGGCCTTATCTCCTTCATGCTGTTTAACTGAAGAAACGACCAATGCAGGAAAAACAAAGCTACTACAGCTTATAAAGAATTTCACACAAACATTACAGGACTAAGTCTGTATGTCTAGCTGTAACTTTCCGTCTTCCAGAAAACCCCATCTACTAGGACTTCCTTCTGTCCACTGAGATTCGCCTCATACTCATTAGAAATCCTATCAGATGGAACATTTTTGCGCTCAACCAACATGAAACCCTTGCACTATTCAGACAATTTCCATACCTGCATGCACAGTACAACTGTTGTCAGAAGATACGTTATTTACCCCTTCTAGTTTTATTTTCTTTTTTTCAGTGTTTTTGTGTACAAAGCAAAAGGGAAAGGACTATATAAGATGGATGAGATGTCTGTATGTTAATCTCACTTAAATTAAGTCAGAAACACCAGAAAGATGTTCCTAATTCTTTTTAAATTAGAAGCATAGCCTTGGAGGATACTGTCACTAGTGTGGGTATCTTGGAGATAAAAGGGTAGGAAGAAACCATGTGCAGACTGTTTTCCTTTTTTGCTAAAGTAAAAATATTCATAAATTATTGTACTGGACTAAGAATGATAAAAAATATCCTCTCTGTAGCACTTCTTGTATTTATTTAATTTTCCTGTTTTATTTCTACTATTGCAATCATCATTCTTGTTACTAACAATAAAACATTCATGCTTTCTTTCCTCAATATTTGGAACCAGCATTTCTCCTCACAACCTTCACTGGCTGGGTATCCATGTACCATAATTATGTTTAATACTATCTTTTTTAACATCAGAATCAATTGTCATGGAAATGACAAGGGTTTACAATAACAATCACACAATTTTGACTCACAGCAAGAATATGAGATCCAATCTGACAGTAATAAGAAGCTGAGCTAACTGAACCCTTCATGGCTAAATTCATATCTTTTGCAATTGCAAAAAATGTGCATACAGTATTTAAATGGAATTTACAGTATCTTGGGAAGCTTTTGTTTCGAAGCAGCCTGCCCTATTACCCAGCCCAGAGACTATAGATGCAAATGTTCTAAAACAGTGTCCCTCTTGCACTGAGCATAGGGATATTAAAAGCAACAATTACTTACACTTCACCATCACCATATAAACATCAATAGTGCAGATTGGAGGTTGGGGCAACCGCTCTCCCTTCTCCAAGAGGTCAGGGATCTCTCGAGTTGGGATTCCATCGTATGGCTTCCCACCAAAGGTCATAAGCTCCCAGATAGTGACTCCTAGATAGAAAAAAAGAGTCTTAATATTTGAGGTCATAGTACTCAGATTCCTTCACAATTTCTTACAGCACGGTATTCTGGCCCAGTTCTGGACTGCAATCTCTTCTTCATTACCAGTGCCTGTAAAAACACTGAAGTTTGGTCTGCCATTTAAAAAGCTCCAGAAAATGGTGAAACAGCACTTTGTGTTAATCTTCAAAGCAACTTCCCTCATTTTTGTTGGTGTAAGAAGCAGCATGATAGATCTGAGGCACAAGAGAAAGGTCTAAGACAAATAAATGGTGGTAAAGTAAATGGATGCAATAACAAAGAATGCATCGCACTCTTTTATCATATCAAAAGGGAAAATGAATGGCTGATGTACTCTATTATTTTAAGGGGAAAAAACGCAGATGTTCCCTAACTTAGAGCATCAATTTCCCACGAAGGTACAGCAGTGAGTAACATTATGTCATTGTCTTTGCTTTGTAAGTCATTCACAGCCACTTGTATTATTTTTTCCCTTAAATCACCTTATGGATTTGAGTTACGAGAGTGCTGTGCTTCAAAACCAAGATTCTCTTTTTGAATAGCCATAGGATTTGTTTTGGCATCGGAGCTGGAAATAAAGATCATTTATCATAAGTTACAGAATTCATCCCCCAACAAAATCTTAAATATTGAAAATGCTGCTCTCACACCAGTTTAACTTTTATTTTTATTGCAAAGGTCATTTTAAACATACCTCCAGATCAGGAACCATATTTTGCCAGCTGTCACGCTAATGTGAAAGGTGATGGGCAAAATTACCATATGTATAAAACTATTTATTTTACCCTCATTCACCTCTTTGTTGATGTTCAGCAACTATAACTTGCCAATTGTTTTTGGTCTTGTCCTTTCTCATTATAGATACTCTGGGCTTCCTGCATTTAAAATGAATTTCATAAATGGAGGCATATTTTTTCCTAAGTGATACAGGGTACACAGAATTTGAGGAGAAACAGCAGCTTTACATGATTGATTTAACCTTCCTATGTTTTTCTGAGCTGAATAGAAGAGGGCAGCTAACCAGTCACAGCAAACAGTGTCTTTTGCTGCTACCCACAGGTAAAAGTGAGTAATGAATAGAATTGTATACCTTTTTGTTTCAAAATGATATGGCAACAGGAAATGCAAATAGGAATCCATAGCCCTAGATACTCCTGAAAAATTCCACTTACAAAGGTACGTATGATTTTATTAGTAATAGCTATATAGATAAACAGGCAGACAGCTCAGCAGATGTGGCACAATAGCTCGTCTGGATAACAGAATTAACAACAGTAAATGAACATCTCATCTCTCAAATGTGACTTTTTTTTTTTTGGTGTGTGGAGTCCACATGAGCTGACCTGTCTAACCAATTCCCAAGTTATCTGTGAAATTAATTGGATGCTTGTTTTAGTTAGCTTGGAGAACTCATCTCTTTCTCTTCTTTCTCTTGCTCTGTATTGTGACAAATTCCATTTTATCTGACTGGAGGTACAGAAAGTCCCATAAGCCTGAAAATGTTTTTTGACATTCATGGCTTTTAGAGTTAAGATTTTCAAAGGACTGCTGAAAATTATGACCTGCAGCTGTATTTTTATGAATCTGTGGCTGAGCTGAAAGAGGCCTTCTTCTGTCATAATAATCAGCCAAACTGCTACCAGCCCAGACCTTACGGCAGTCATCCCAGCAGGGACATCATGATAATGTATTTTAGTGAGCAGGGAAGAAACACAGGAGACAAGTAACAATTGCTGTTTAGCGTTACACATTAAAAAAAAAAACAAACCAACAAGAGAAAGAAAAAAAAAAGAGTAAAACCCACTATTAACTTCTCTAGGAAAAGAAGGTATCTTTAACATAGTAACAAACAACTTGGTTTAATGCTTTACAAGAGACAAATTTTTAAACTAATCACATGAAGATTTACCATAGCTCCAAACATCACTCTGATGGGTAAATTTCCTGTAGTGTATGCACTCCAGAGCCATCCACTTAATTGGCATCTAGGG